ACACCAACCCAGGGTTCAACCACCACTCCAGGGATGACAGAATGTGATCCGGCACCCTAACTTCCTGGTGTAGGTCGTGTCTGTTAAGGATGTAAACAGATGCTAGCCAGGCTTGCAGAGGCCAGAGCTGGACATGACTGACCACGAATGTACAGGTGGCTAGGTGGCCCAACAATCACAGGCAGGTGTGAGCCATGGTGAGCGTGTGGTTCTTCACATGGGAGATCAGGTCCAACATGGCCTGAAAACGAGCCACCAGAGGGAAGGCTCTGACTCACATGAAGTTGAGAACCGCCCCGATGAACTCTATTAGTTGGATTGCCTTAAGATGGATTTTTGCTCGTTTATCAACAGACACACATTGCAGCAGGTGGAACGCACCAGATCATGCCATCTCCTCTGTACTTGTTCCCAAGACCTGCCCTTGATGAGCCAGTCGTCGAGATATGTGAAGACCTGGACCCTTCAACATCTCAGGTAACCGGCTACTGGCGCCATACCTTTTGTGAAGACCCTTGCGGCCGATGAGCAGTCAAAGGGCTGCACCATGAATTGGAAATGGCAGCCATCCACTATGAAACGGAGGAAATGTCTGTGACCTTGGAATATGGAAATAAGCATTCTTCAAATCAAGGGAAGCATACCAGTCTCCCGGATCCAGGGAGGGGATGATGGAAGCCAGGGAGACCTTGAGAGACATGTTGAGGCGTTGCAGGTCCAGAATGGGTCTGAGGCCCCCTTTTACTTTCAGGAAGGGAAATAACAGAAGTAGAATCCCTTTCCTGTCATGTCTCAAGGGACCTCCTCCACTTGCAACCAGGCTGAACAGTAAGGACAATGACGGTTGAGAAAAGAGAGGGGTGGATCCTGGGAGGTAAGTGGGACATCACTCTCGACCACACCCTCAAAACCAGCACTTCTGGCCCCTGGTGCTTTGCTGGGCCACACAGGTGAGCAGGAGGAGGAAGGGCAGTGGTGACTGAAACTAACATCCCTGTTCCTTCTCCTTGCAGACCCTGGATGAGACTGCCAAGGCACGGGCAGCAGTAACTGCTTTCTCGCAGACTGTGGAGTATGCATGACCAATAAGCGAAGGGTAGCCTGAGTGTCTTTTAACCCATGCAGCCTCACATATGTCTGCTCTGAAAAAAGACCGATCCCATCAAATGGAAGGTCTTGGATCAAGGTCTGCAGTTTTTGTGAGAGCCCAGCAGTCTGAAGCCAGGAGTGCCCCTCATAACCGCCTCTGATGTCATCAGCCTAGCCACCGAGTCTTCCGTGTCCCATGCCATTTGGAGGGAGCAGTGAGCCACCCTCCTCCACCAGGGTGCTGAATTCCTGGGCCAAACCTTGCAGGAGGGACTCCTTGCACTTATGGATGGAGTCCCATAAGTTGAAATTCTATCTCCCTAGGAGTGCCTGATGGTTTGCCACCCAGAATTGTAGTTTGGCAGTTGGACCTGTTTGGGAGGAAACGTTATTCAATCTTTTGGCCTCTTTAAGTTGAGTTGAGCTGGTATGCCTTTGTTTATGTTTTTCATTGGCCGAAGAGACCACCCACCCAGGGAAGGGTGGGTGTAAAGATACTCAAACCCTTTGGCTGGGACAAAGTATTTCTTTTCAGCCCTTTTAGAGGTGGGAAGGATGGATGAGGGAATTTGCCAGAGGGCGTTGGCAATTTTGAGGACACCATCATTCACACCGTAGTGCGACAGGGGCCAGGGTACAGGCAGACAGGACATTAAACAAGGTTTCCACCTGCTCAGCCATTTCCTCCACCACCAGGCCCAAGTTCTCGGCCACCCATTGAAGCAAGGCCTGGCGTTCTTTAAAATCATCCGGTGGGCTGGCCCTCAAGTCCCACAACCACCCCATTTGGGGACGAAGATGATGACTGTACAGCGGGGGGAGGCCCCGGAGCATCTTCCCCCTGGGAGGGATGGGGTGGGAGGCTTAGGGGTGGGTGCAGTCTCCTCTGCTAGGACCTCTAAGTGCACCTCATGCACCGAGCCCAGTGCTGTCGGTGCCACCAGCTGTTGCTCCAAGGCGGCAGCCGATGAGCGGTGTGAAGGGGATATTGCCATGACTGGCACTCCCCACAAACTCCAATAAGGCCACTGCACTGACCACTGGCCGTGCTGCCAAGGCAGTGCTGTCAATGTTGATGTGACCTCGGGTACCCATTCGAGCTGGTGGCGTCTAGGTGAGGGGCTGAACTGCCCTTCCTTGCTGAAGGAATCTCTTTTTGGTGACACTGTTGATGCCTTATTCTGTGTGCTGACCATTGCCGTTGGAGACTGGTGCATGGAGTGAGGATATTGGTGCCGGTATTGAGGGGACCAGTGCCAAAGGAACTGGAGATGTGACAGAGAATGCTACCATGTGGTAGTCTACCGGAACCTGCACCAAAAGTCCAACCACCAGCAGGGCAAATGGTGCCAGTAATACGGAGACCGGCATCTCCCTCTAGTCGATCCACATCAAAATGGCAGGGACCATGATCATAGTGCTGGTGACAGAGGGCGAGCCCCAGAGAATCTGGGCTGCAACTCCGGTGATTTGCTGCAAGGAGGTGAAGAGCGCTGCTTTGTCTCAGGGGATCAGTGGCAATCTACTGCCTCGAGAGGTTTTAGCGGCTGGCATGCCCTCATGGGGAGCCTTTGCCGATTCCTGTGACACGTGCTGTGTCGGTGGCGTGGGTAGAGGCCTTTGCTCTCTTGGTGCCAGGGGAGCTTGTGAAGGCACCGTCAGCGGTTTAGGTCCCATGCCATTGCCAGGAGTTGGTGCGGGGGGTGCACTGTGCAATGAGGCCCGAGGTACTCGGCAAATCCTGGTGGGATGGCACGGAAGCTGGATGAAGGGCGGACTCCATGAGGAGAGCCTGTAAACGAATATCCCGCACTTTCTGCATGAGGGGCTAAAAGTTTTTACAAATACAGCTCTTATCTCTCATGTGTGATTTCCCCCAAGCACTTGAAGCAGCTGCTATGGGGGTCGCTTAAAGGCATAGGCCTGTTACAGTCCAGGAGACTGGGGCATGCCTTACTTGGGGTGAAGTCCCCCCTGGGACACTAACTTCTACCTACTAAACACTAACTACTATAAACAAACTATTTACAAGGCCCTAAGGCTCGAAGGCAGAGGAGACTAAACCGCTAGACCTTGCTGAGCAAGGAAAGGAGCTGCAACTAACCACCACAGGTGGTAAGAAGGAACTGAGAGGGTGTAGGGCTGGTGGTGCCTGATATACCGATGCATGAATGTGGCACTCAAGGAAGTGCTGATCCTACAGATACTGGTAAGGCAAAAATCTCTGACAACTGTGCACTGGGCATGCACACCTAGGATGGAATCGACATGAGCAAGTACTCGAAGAATATCTTATTGCTGCAGAGAGCAATTATATGAATTTGAAGAAATTTGGATCCTTGTTCTTGATACATTTGGATGAAGAATGCTGAGAGAGCTCAGATAATGCCAGACTTCCATTCCACCTCACCTTTTTTGCTTTTTCCCCTCCATCTTCCTGCCCCTTTTCACTTTTTTTGCTTGTTTGTGTATGGCATTATTATTATTTTCACCATCACCCTAACATTTTATGTCTGTATAATTTGTCTGATTTGCATGATCTGGTCTTGCAGCTTTAACAAGCTGTAACTCCGTAATTGCATAATGTTATTGGCTACTTGTGAAATATGCAGAATTTGGTTACATACACAAGCTGTAAGTCTTTTATCTTTCTGTATTTGTTATTGTTTCCTTATGAAAATTAATTAAAAAATCACAAAAAAGCCAAACAAGAGTGTTACACTTCCAAAACATTATCAGCAGCTTTTCTCAGTCAGATTTTACTGATTTGTCCTCTTTTCTATTTTAATGCTATTTCCATCTTACTCCGTTTCAAGACAGCTATTTGCAAACTGTTTATAGAAAAAAAACAACGCCTAAAAGGGAAATGTCCTTGAAGCAGTGTGTGCAGACCGATTACTACAGAGCGAGCAAGCTAATACACAACCCTCAGTCTCGGGAGAATTACTATTAGTTTGAGACTGAGGCATTTTTCATTTAAAAAAAAAAAAGAAGAGAAATTCTACCATACTACTGCAGGATTGACGCTCCCCCTCCCCTCCCCAGAATATTTCAGATGAATCAACATTTGAAGGTTACCAGTTCATTCTTCAAAAGCTCTGGGGAATTACTGACCCCCTAAACAGTGTCGTTTTCCATGATTGCTTCTTTGGAGCCTTCTGTAATGCACCAGGCTCACTAATAGATAAATGACCAGTATAAAAAGCTTAAATCTGACAATAATCCCAATGTTTTGTGCACAGTAAATGAAATGAAACTGCTAATGTATTGTTAAAATCTATTAGAGTTTACTAGCATCAGTGTTTAATCAGATAACTAGTAAATTCACAAATCAACATTTGAGAGTGAACAAGGATCTTTAAGGCTACATGATCAAATTCCTGCAGACTCAGCCATCTGCAGAAGAACTTGGAAAGTCTGCACTTTATCTCCTTCTTTATTTCTTGTGCAATCGGAAAGGAATGACAAGAGGAGACTATATACAGGATCCCCACTGAGACTCAGTCACATAAATTATGTATTATGCAGACAGTATTCTGCTGATGCTATCTGATCCCCAATTCTCAATTCCTTGTTTTTGCTTCTATAAATAGCTATTGCAGCTTTTCAGTTGTTAAACAACTAGGACAAAATCAGAAACCTTTCCCATTTAATAACCTCTGCCAAGGAAGAATAAGGTAATATTTTTCATAACTGTGATGTCCTCAGGGCTTTAACAGTCTGGGAATACATGCAATGCTATGCTGTTGATAAGATACTGGTAGTAGAAGAGGGGGAATGACCACCCTGAATATTAAAGAGGGGAATGCCCTATTTTCAAAATGATCAGTATAACTTGCTGCTGTGCATTTTCCTATCAATTCTAATCTGATCAGGACAACTTTTGTTTTGTTTTTTTTCCCCTCCCCTAGACCCAAATGCTTTGGCTGGACAGACTGGACCTGACCATGCTCTCATAGGAGGAATAGTGGCTGTAGTTGTCTTTGTCACATTATGTTCTATAATTCTGCTTGGACGATATCTGGCAAGACATAAAGGTAGGACGGATTTAATCAAAGTGCAATCACCTTTTGCAGCAATACTTCCTCATGATTAGTTTCACCCTCAAACACTCTCGTGCCCTCTCTGCCCCCACCTCCCCTTGTAATTTAGTTGCCTGGGAAAGCTCACGCTCAGAAGTAGCATCTGGTTTTCCCATGAGGTCCTGATTTTGTACCCAATTTTACAGTTGGATTAACTGAAGCAAAAGGATGTTGAACAACCTGCCCAAGGTCATGTAGTGAGTCAGTGGCTAAGGGAGATTTAGAAGGAAGAACGCGCCTAGATTCTAGCCCTTTGCTGTAAGCACTCAGTTACGTGTCCTCATCATTTTAACTGTTATATTAATTCCACAGAATATATATGGTTATTGAAATGAGGCTTTAACTATCATAAATCATGATAAAACTTTAAATAAGTTGTGTTAAATACAAGGAGTAAAATCCTGGTCCCACTGAAATCAGCATGAGTTTTGCTATGGCCTCCAGAGTAGCCAGGATTTCACTCCAGGAGCAAAATTCTGAAGTCCTGACTCAGTTTTTACACTACGCTTATTGAGGGAAAAACTCCATTAGAGTCAATGGAGAGAAGGGTCTGAGTAAAACAGAGGACAGATTTTAGAATCTAACCGAGGTGATTGTTTAAAAAAAAAAAAAAGTTTATGAAGGCTTAATGTCTGAATGGCTTGCAGCGTAGTTGTTAACCTTAGTTTACCTTCCTCCCCAAAAAGTATTACTATTATTAAACCTAATTCTACCTAGGGTAGTCATGCGGTTAGCAAACACAAACTGATAAAATATTTGTTTTAAGTTCAGAAGAACTGTGTGAAAAATTACAAATTTCTAATTAATCTGGTGAAAATGTGACAGCTTTGCTCTATTTCCTGGCTGAAAACAAATGAGTCCCAAGCCAATGTAAATATCACTTTTCACAAAGTGACAATTGTCTGTTGCATACAGCTCTATTAATATCCTGCTCTTATACTATTTAGCAAAGCAATGTCAGTGGCAATGTGAAGCAATTGGGTTAACTTAATGCAACTATTTTCAGTTTTGCACTCCAAGAGAATCTTAATTATCCTAGTCTGTGGAATTAAAGAGCAAATAAAAAAAATGGCCTACACCAATGTGAGAGTACAAAAATAATTAGAAGCCATTTTTCAAAAACATGTGTTTAATGAAATCTAAGCTATTCAAAGTTAATTTTCTTACCCATCTAGATATACCATATAATACACAGTGATACTATTGTATGTTAAAATATTTCTTTGCTTCATGCCACTGGAGATAGAAAAAATATGGTTTTGAAACTGCTGTACCTTTTTCCCCCCATAGATATGTGAAAATATATGTGCATATGGGACAAGTGTTATGAATCATAATTACTACTTGCCCAAATTAGAATGTTATATGTACTAGTACAGTTAATGCTAAAATTGTGCATCAAGTTCTGTTCTGCACCACTCCACTCATTAAACCAGTTAGATCTTTGTTACAGATCTACTGTGCATAAAACTACCTAAAGTAAAATTACTAATTTTTTTATTGTACTAATTCCCATAGGAACATATTTAACAAATGAAGCTAAAGGAGCTGAAGATGCACCTGATGCTGACACAGCCATTATCAATGCAGAAGGCAGCCAAGTCAATGCAGAGGAGAAAAAGGAGTATTTCATTTAGATGCAGACCTAGATTCTCTGAGTTTTACTTATCAGGCTGACTGCTGGAGAAAACTGGCTATCATCTTTCAGAATTCATTTCTGCCATCTTCTGCAAACTTTATTAACTTTCATACTGCTATAAGTAGCCAGTTTATGCCAACAATCAGTTGTTGACAGCATCATTCTTTCTTTACAGTACCATCCACAATGCAGGACATTTCTTATTGCCTAAAATTCATATCCATTGCTCTCTTAACATACAGTGCTTGAATATACAGCCTTAACAATGTTAATCTTCATCTTAAATCATGCTGTTGAGTTTTCTACATTTTTAAATATTATATAGCTTTCTTCTTTTCCAGTTTTCTTTTACCATGGTCCCTATCAGTATGTCATTGGATGATTTTCATAACAAATACTATTCGATAAGGACCTAATGTACTTACATAAAACATTAAATCTAAGATTAGAGGTTTACAAAGAATGTTTTATACATGTCTATAATTCAAAGGCAACTTGTTTTTGAAACATATGCCCTAGGAACCACAAACTGAAAACATTATAGTATAGTTTCTTGTATGCTTGGATTTGGTGGAAAAGGAGTATCAATACGTCATTAAAAATGGTACCTTGATACTAATTCCATGCTTGGGTGGTAATTAAATCATACTGTATTATCTATACAGATGCTGCAGAGTTAGATAATTGTAGCTTCATTCTGAAACAAATTAATTCAGCCCTTTTACTGCTTTTTGGGATCACAAGATTAGATACGTTCCTATAATTTCGGTTTTAATAATTTATTTGCGTCATATGGACTCACCTGCCTATTCAGATTTGTAGTGTTCATGGGGCACAATTGCAAGGCATTTTCCTATCTGTATATAGTGCATATAATAAATCCAATTAAACATTATTTGATACATATTTAACTTTTTTGGCTATAGCTAAGTCAGTCACAAGTAAGCATTTTCTAATGTCCATTATATCCCTTTAGATATGACTTAAATCAATATTCTAAATAGATAACATGTATTAGTATTTTCTGTCTGTATGTCCTAGCACTGTTCAGCAGCAAACTTTTCTAGTTCTTGTTAATTTTTCTTTGTTATACAATGGAAGCACAATGTTATATGGAAAGATAGTTTTAAGCTAACAACCAGTGCACAGCCTCAGGTTTTGAATTACAACCACATTTGATTAATATCCTTAAAAAATACTGTTATGTTGCTAAATTCTCGATTTTTAATTTGGCAGTTCCACAGCTGCTTATCTATGTTGGGTTGCCAAAAAAAAAAAAGAAAAAAAAAAAAAAAAAAAAAAGAAAAAAGAGTTAAATGATATATGTTTTGTGTATACGGTAAATGGACTAATTCTTTATATTAAATTCCTGTCTATGCATTTTGTGGGGTACAAACTTATGTCACAGTGAATGATAGAGAATTTCTGCCAATGCTTTTAGCTCTATGGTGAAAGTCTCTCTAAAAGTCTCATGTTCTTAAATATGACAACAAAACACTATAAGCCCAATGGCTTATTTCCTCTTCCACTGAAATAAAAATGGTGCCAGATCAACTCTTGGTAGTGATTCCATGCTGGAGAATGAAAATCTGTATCATTTGGAGTTCATCTCTCTCTCCCAAGTGTTGCATCTTTGAAAAATAGTATTTCTATATGGTTGCTATACTTGTGAAGTCTAAAAGCATGATGGCTTAGTGTAAAGGATTATCTCCTGGGATTTATTTTTTGTGGGGGTGGGGGAGGGAGAATCTGAATACATCATCATGTATTAAGATAAAATGGAAGACAAAGGTGCTGTGTCAGATTATTTATCAGAAGAGTATAAGCCTATTAAGGAGAATATTATAGTATTTTAATTGTTTTCTTTCTTTCTTTTTGTTGAAACATTTATCTTGTTAATTTCTAAGAAAAAAGAGGGTGATGTTGATCAAGCAGCACTTTTTCAAAATATACAGAACATAAATAATATGATGTGGTTGAGTGTTAACATAATAAATCATATACAGTATGACATTTTAAAGAAATAAGTCTGCATTGATGTGATTGCATGCTTGTTTTTACAGTTCACTCCATACCATCTGTGGAAAAATGCAATAATATGTTAATATAGTATGGTAGTTTGAGAGAACCAGGTAGGTGCTACTAGACACATTGAGACTAGACACATTGAGCTTTTCAAGATATTCATGTCTTTCAAAGCATACACTTTTAAAAGGTTGGCAAAGGAAATCATTTAGTTTAGTACCAGAACAGAAAGGTTCTTGTCACAACAGTAAGTTGCATTAACAGCATTACAATACTGTATATCTCAGTCTGGTTAATGACTTAGGGTTTGAGCCAACAAATCACTTAAGCACGTGAGAAGATCCACCTAATTCAATGGAACTACTCAAAGTAAGTTTTTTGCTGGATCAGGGCCTTATTTATTGAAGTGGAGCTGTTCATCAGTGCTGCTTTTACATCTTCATACATTCTATCTAAACTGCACTTTGCTTGAATTGTAGAGTCATTGCTTAAATCATTACTTACCATGATGTCAAGTGAGACCTTCAAATGTTAGAGCATCTTTAGATGTGACCACTCAAAGCCGTCTTGTCAGCGTCATGTAAAACCAGCATTGAAACATTGCAAAACCAGAAATAAATTGGACACTTAAATTACATTGGTTGTTTTTTTAGTTAAAACTCTTAATGTGTGCTAATTTTCAATAGATTTCTGATTTTTCCACTGTCTTGCATCTTGTAATTTCATTTACATTTGTGCAAAGTGGGTGTAAAAACACTACACCCGGTATAAATGAATTGAGAATTCTGATTGTGTAGTTCTTTACATCCATCTACATCTACATGTTCAAATGACTTCACTGGGTGTAAGGTAATAAATACAGTGCCATTCCCTTTGTAAGCAACATCATGGCTCACTTAGAACTGAGTATAGTATTCAACAGATAAAAACACATTGTCTTTCTCCTTTATACAAAAAGATCCCATTCAGAAATACTGAGCCCATTATAGTCTCAAGAAATCTGTTAAATGTGTAAAATGAAAGCTCCGAATGGGAACCATGTTAGTTAGAATGTTAGTATAACATCCAGACCTACAAACACATGCAATGTAATTTACTCAAGACAAGGTAGCTAATTACTGCCAGTTTACAATGTCCATTGATTATTTTTAACTTTCAAATGTAGAACAATGTTATTTTTTTTAATGCTCTGACAACATAATCATTAAACAGGCATGTGACATCACAGGCAAATGGGTGCATCTTTCCATTCTGTTTAGTGTCATCAGAGAATCCAAGAAGCAGTTTAAAGAACCTGATATTTAAGTTGAGGCTAAGAATTTTATCTGGAACACTTAAAAATGTCTTCACATTTCTTGCACTGAGACTTCCTCTATAAAGAATACATGAAGAAAACCAACTTTTCTAAATAATACATGGAAGTTAATGTGTATTTTCATTATAGCATAATATAGATATAACTATCTCAATGAAAAGAAAGGACAGGATCATCTGTAATTATGTAATTCAGCTGATTGTAAACAGCACTGAAGTTACCATGTACGGACATGTACTTCCATGTAACACAGCAGTTATAGTGTAATTTAGTGCCACTTATTGTAAAGTGTTACCAAAAGGAAAATGGAACTCTTACCTTTACTAATCTGTTCAAACTAAAGTTAAATTTAGTAAATCAACACCAGGAATCTGACATTCCATTTCTTTAATAAGGAGGTGATATAAAACTTCATGTTCACCCCACAGTTTTTCCCACCACCTAACTAGATTACTACAAGTGTCCAATCTACTCACTCTTAAGGAATGGTAATCTGTGATGAACGTACCAAAAAAATTCAGCTACTTCAATTGAATCAGCTAATAGAAACAACTGAGTAATGCTTTTTATTAAGTGGCACAAAGTACACACTAAAAACTATGCAAAAATATAGGTAACTACAGTGTACTTACATGTAAGTATCTTGTACTTCCTGTGTATGGATATTGGAAACCTATGTAATTATAATATGCATTTTGATTATTTTAAAAGAGGGGAAGAAAAACCCTAGCAGTGAAAATAACTTTAAAGTACACACACATGCAATAGTCATGCTTAATGCAATATGCTTAATTCCTCTACTTGCAATGATATTTAATTTATTATAATGCATCTCTGTCCTTCCACCCCACTAGCTCTGTCTCCCCTCTAGTACCATTGAGGTCCTATGAGACTCCACTGAAACGCTTTTAGGACAGAGTAAGAATTCATTTACATTTGTGGCACAAAGCACAAATGTAAATGGCTTTATTACCAGCATACTGCAAGTTTGGCAATCCTGGTCAGTAATCTCTTTTTGACTCAACAGAACAAGGTTGTTCTTTTTTCCTTCTTGGGGAAGTCTAGCAAGCTAAGATACTGAAATGTACTTCCATATGCCCTGGGTTTTTTTAGCTTGAACAGCAGAGAGAAAGAAATGGAGAACTGCATTATGCTGACCTCTATTTTGTTGAACCACCTGGAATTTTCACTATTTCTTTCACAATACTGTCAGGTAATCTTACATTGTGAGTACAAACTGCTTCCATCAAAGTACAGAGGAAGCCTTTAGTGATAAAGTTAACTTTTTCTAAACATGAAATTTTATATCTTTTTCTTCTTGTTTTCTGTCATACCCTTCCAAAAGTAATTCACTGAAAGTAGTGAGAGAACGTGAAATAGCAAAAGAAGAAAATGAATATATTAAATGTAATATAGGAAACGGCACTCACTAAAGTTTTACAATATCACTCCATGCTTGTATATAATATTATGATTTAACAATTCCAGTTAGATGAAATGTAGGAATTGAAAACATGGGGTAAACTGTTAAGCTACCTCTCACGTTAAATACTGGCTGTGAAGTGTCTATATACATTTTTAAAATATTACAAAGTCTTAGATTTAGCCTCTAAAAGGGATAATTGTAAGTTTTGCTGTTGACACTGAAAACAACTTGGCTGCATTCATGGCTCTTTATCTAATTTCCTCTGTCCCACAACCCCAATTTTTACTATCTTCTGTTGTAGGTATTCCCACTGGGTAATACCGTAGATACAGGGCCACATCCTCAGCTGCTATATCTCCACTTAGCTCTATTTCCTTTAGAATAGGCTGATTTGCATTGGCTGAAGATGCATCCCATAATGTTTACAAACACAGTTATACCATACCATTATCTATTAAATATGGAGAAGAATATTATACAATTCAGCTGTAACACAATTACTTTCACTAACAAAGAACGTAGGTTTATAATGTCAATTCTAAAACCATATGCAAGTTTTTGCATTACATCAGTAATACACATGCTGTCAAGATATTTTAACTTATCATTTATTTAAACATAATATCTCCAATGTACATTTACAATACAAATACTCAATCCAAGGATTACAGCAGCATAGCTCAGTGGTTTGAGCATTGGCCTGCTAAATCCTTGAGGGGGCCATTTGGGATCTGCGGCAAAAATTGGGGATTGGTCCTGCTTTGAGCAGGGGGTTGGACTAGATAACCTCCTGAGGTCCCTTCCAACCCTGATATTCTATGATTCTAGTGCAAAAAAAAAGCAAAGCAAAGCAATGTGTCAATATGGAAGAGATTATTTCTGAAACTTTTCAACACCAGGATTTCCTACATGATTGTTCTAGGAGGGCCTGATCTAACTACCACTAAAGTCAAAGGCAGTCATCTGACAGACTGTAAGGGAAGTTAGCTCAGACCCACAATGCTATTCAAGTATCACACCAACATACTGCATTTGGAGCAACTCAGAAGGATGATGGGTGTGGTGGTGTGTGCGTGCAAACATGGTTTTATGCCATTCCAATCCATGGCCCTTCTAACCAACCCCTACTGCCATTGGGCCTCCAAGGGGGCTGTTCCCATTAGTTAGGAATTGCCAGTGCCCAGACATGCCCATTTTTCTGAGCAAAGCCCTTTGCACCAGGGTCAAATGGGGAAATGGCATGGGAGCTGATATGACTCTAGAGCACCTGGGGATTCCCTAACACAATGAAAAGCCCTCAAGTAGCTGGTTAAACCAGCTTCGTCGCTTCTGCGTGTCGCCAAGGATCTGTCCTTCCCCTCCCACCCTCCCATCTTTTGTGTGTAAGTGACTTAAGGCTCTGCTGTGTTAAAAGGAACAATTGCTGAGGTGGAAGAAAGACTCTCCTTTCCAATGAATGCTTTATGTTATTACAAAGGAAAAGTGACAGAATTTTTTAAAGATTTCAGGTGCAAAAGCTAAGCATGCCAAGGGTCAGTACTTAAGCACTTTCCCTGTATCCAGGGTCAAGCCAGAAGTGTTTCCTATGTAAGTACTGATCTCTGTACTTAGTCTTATCCTGTCCTTGCACACAGTGCTGAAAATTGCTGATACTGTTTTCTTTTACATTACTAGCTTTTCTTTTTTTTTTCTTGTTCTACATGAAAATTATTAGAGGGTTTTCATACTAAATGCACCCCCCATTTTTAAGGTAAGTTCTGTTTTATAAATATTTATGTTGGTTCAAAAGAGGAGACAAATGTTATTTGGATATTTGGAGTGAACTATTGTTCCTTTTCCCCTTCCTTTCTGCAGTACGTTGGATATTTAGTCCTCATTTAAATGTAACTAGATTTTCCCATATCCCTAGGTAGTTTCCATATATACACACAAACAAAGGCAGCCTTGCAATCATCTGCTTTTATGTACTGACTACAGCTAAACAATGAACAAAGAGTTTGAGATTTGGACTCATGGACTACTGGAGTCATACATAACTCACTCTCAAAATTCTTAATGCAGCATTTCTATTGAGTTCAACAGCATTTGGCTCAAGTCCTTAATCTAAATATTTGAGCTGATCTCAAGTTCTTTTCTAAGGGCTTCAATTCCAAACTCCATTCCCTGTGCATCCTTTACTTTTAGCTTAGATATTTTATAACAACAAAACACTTTCAATATTGCAGGAAGATTGCTAGAATACAGAAGGAAAAAGTTGTGAAAAGCTATCAACTATTTCCATTGATACACTATGTAACAGTAATCTCATAGGAACTTCAATGTGTTATGCTATTAGACTTAGAAATTTATCCTTCCACATGCAGTGAATTTCAAGAAAAAATATAAACTTCATGCTGTAAGTAAAATCCAATGGAATTAAGCATATTGCACTGACTATGGAAATTCAGTTACTGCATCTAATTTTCTCAACAATTGTAAGTGAACAAAATGCACATTGTAATGTTAGGTACATGACACTTGCATGTTGCTATGCCTATATACTTACAGAGTATTCAATGTGTACTTAGTGGCGCTTAAGAAATGTCATGTACAATTCTTATAAACATTCTTACAGGGTTCCCATTTGCACTTCATCTTTCAGTAAAGTCTTGTCAGAAAAATGTCTGATGAATATTATTGAAAAAAATAAAATTTCAATTTTAGTTATCTGTTGGACATTACTGAATTGTCTATTCATTTAATACATTTTCTGATGCTTGCCAATTTCGCAGTGACATTGACTTAGGTAGTTGTTCAGACAGACTGTTCACAGACCTGGTCTCCCCCCCCCCCCATTTTTAAGCAGAGAACTACTAAATTTACTATACTATACATCAAAATACTACTGCTGATATTACAGAACAATTATTTTAAGAAAGACTCAGTGACACACTAGTATTGTACACATTATCAATCAGGACAAAAATATCCCATAATTTTGTATAACCTTTTATAGTCTATAGACCATGAATTAATACACATTATCCAGATCCTTTTCACTGACCACAGAAGAAGAACAACTTTTGGATATTATCTTCCCACTTGGTAATATTCATCCCTGGTCAGAGGTCAAGCAGAAAGTGCATGCAGCATTTAAGGAACATATGAGCCTTCAAAAATCGCCTTTTGTAGGATTTAAGTAGTGTATAGGCCTTATGCTGGCCCTCTGCAAAAAAGATATAGGACTCATGCAAGGCCCTTCACACCACCTATACCCAAAATTGGAAGAGTACAGGACAGGGAAGCCATACAGGAGTCTCCATGGTGCCCCAGCATATTGGTCAGCAATGTAGCCGGGCTAGAGGAGAGACCACAAGATCCATATTTATGGAAGGCACAAGTCACAGCTCCAGAGAGGGGACACAGATAACCTTTGCGCCCTCTTCACTCAGGAAATCTCTGTGCCATTAAACATCCCCTGATGACAGAATCCATCCAGGACTCTGCTGGCCGAAACCCACCACAGATTGCAGCCTGAAGTTCCACTGAAGTCAATGGTCATTTCATCCGAGTAAGATGAAACCGATAACATTGTGGTGCAGTATATATAATTGCCGCATTGACAAATTGATATTTATAAGTATGTTGGGTATTTTTTTGCTGCCCAAAGTTGTATTTTGGAGTTAATTGGATGTTTACACCATCATCTACTGTAGTTCATTTTAGAACATATAGAACAAATGTAGAACATAAGAACAGCCATACTGGGTCCATCTAGCCCAGTATCCTGTCTTCTGACAGTGGCCAATGCCAGGTGCCCCAGAGGGAATGAACAGAACAAGCAATCATCAAGCGATCCATTCTTTGTCACCAATTCCCGGCAAACAGAATTCTGAATTATTTCACTATTTCTGTTTATAAAACAAAACTAACTTACCCTAAGTCATGTGAAATGTGCAAATACAATATAAAACTAGAATAAATGAATCATTGCATGGTATTCCAAGTGACATTAAGGGCATATATGCCCCAAAGTAATGACCAAAATATGAGCTGAAAATCTATTGTGTATATTAGACATTGGAATATTATGCAATACAACAATATTTCACAGATTGCATTGTTTTTCTACTTCTGTTGTCCAAACAATAATTCTTATATCACTCTATATTTTTCGATTCATGATTTATGAACCCAAAGTTGCCCATAGCATAACTGCAGACAGTCTTTGCTTATCATATAAAATGTAACCTGTACACTGATCAACTAAACCTGGAAAGTTGCCATCAATGTTTGCTGTCAAACAAAGAGCTCTTAATTCTAACTCCTCATATTGTGTATACATATCTTAAAAAAACAAACAAAAAAACCTCTGCATGGCTAGGAAGCAGTACAACATATGTAATTAAGCAGACCTTAAATTACATTTTGTGACAACTTATTTGCTGTTAAATTACTTATTTTTCATTTACTTTGAACAACTATTTTTCCTTTGACCCATATATGGTCTTCTTCATGGGATTTATTATGTTGGAGGACTTCAGAAATTTGGGGACCCAGAAGCCAGCGAAATTACGTAAAATTTCAGTGTGTCACAACATTTATAGACAATGTTACACTGCTCTGCCATCCATATCTGCATATGCTCAAGAATGTGTCCCAAGAAAATCAATCACAATTCAAAAAGACTTACGCGGGTGCTTAAAGTTATATTCCTGGGTCAATTCTGCACCAAAAAAATTCTGCACACAGTATTTTAAAATTCTGCAAATCTTATTTGTCAAAATAACACAAAATAACACTGGCACAATCATACCAGTTACAATTATTTTGTTAACTTATTTCAAAATACCTGTCAGCAAGTACATCTGTAACAATACAGACAGCAAAAAAGATTCAGGAAATGTTTTTTTGACAAATAGATTTCTTACTCGGTATATTAATACAGACCTTTGAGGAGTAATTCATTTAAACTACAATGCAGAAAATGTATTTCCCGCACCCCTCAGAAGCAGGGCAAAGGCTTAGGGGAGTCAAGGGTAACAGAGGAGCTGAGGGTCGGGGATGTAATTGGTGCACAGGAACCTGGAGGGTTGTTGGGTATGGGTGAGAAAAGTATGGAACAGGTTTTCTTTGGGGGGAGGGGATTGTTTGGGGTACCTCCCCCATTCACACCTGGGCTGACCCCTAGCCTCTCCCATTCAGTCAGGCACATCTGTCCCTGTCCCAGTGTGACTCTGCGCCTCCCTCTCCCGTCCTCATGTGTCCCTGCCCACTCCCATTCAGCCCCTGGCTCAATGCTGTCACCCCAATTGCTCCTGAGCCCCCACCCCAGTCTGTCCCCCCCAAGCCCATGTGACCCCATAGCAGCCCTGTATGCCCCGTGCTGTCCGTTCCCTCCCATATCCCATGCTTCCTCACCTGGCCCCGTGGGCAAAGTGCTGTGAAGAAAGCAGCCTCTCCTCCTGCCTCTCTGTGGTTGGCTACTCTGGGCCTGGGCCTGAGCCTGCTGCCCTCTCTTCTGGTGTTACAGCAGCCCCTGGTGGGCGAAAGATGTACCTGAAGAGCCTCTTTGGCAAAATCTATTTTCTGCAGAGAGGAGGGGAAAAAATCTGAGCATGTTCAGTGGCGCAGAAGTCCCCCAGGAGTAAAGTTATGCAAGAGTGGAAGTCTTTGCAGGATTAGGCCTTAATTTCTATGTTGGAGGACCTTCAAGAATGGGCTCTGAACTTTTCAGTACCTTATATTTTTACTGCACAAATATTTAAACTTTACAAAAGATAATGTGCCTTTTGCTTTTGTTGCAACATGCCTTTCCTCCACTGAGAAAAGGCTCTTCTTCCAGAGGATTTTTTGAAAGATGGCATCAGTTATCTTTTCTTAGTGCACAGACTAGCCTTTTTTAGAAAAGACTTCAAGGCTTTACAGATTCCATATTTTCTGTTTGTAACAAGTATCCATAATTTTCCTGTACTGCCAAAACCAAGAGTCCTGGCTATTGTTCAAAATAAGCTGAAATTACATCTATGTGGCCTCAAAGGGACAAGTGATGCTAGCATAGACAGAACTTTCTAGGACTCAGGACTAGACATGTTCAGTTTGTACCCAGACATGTAGTATAATATTCTAGATCCCCCCCCCCCCGCCTCTATTTACTCCTAAAATGCTTGGAGGACCTACCAATGGTAAACATTGCCAGAAACAACAATCCAAAGGCTTCCACTGAAAGTAACATCTGGGAGTTGTTTTCATGCAAACAGTAGCCCTCCTTTGGTAACACAGCCAAGCACGCTCCTTCCTGTATCTTCTCTAAAATGTATGTTTTTAGCTATAGGTCAATCAATGGTGGCAGAATCCATATCTCCCCCTCCTCAACAATCCCTACTGAAGTTGTTTTTAATTATCTTCCAGGCTAGCTCTCTGTACCATTGGACCAATTTTGACAGAAAATTATTTAAAAGAGCTATTGCCTTAATTTTATTAAAAATCCTCCTCCCTTCGTCTCTTCTGATACTTTGCAAATGGTCCCACAAGTACAAATTTTGAGGAAATCCAAAGCCTTGAGCCAAAACATTGGCTGCTTAATCTAGAGGAACGTATAGCAGAGTATTAGGAAGTAAAGAGTTTTTTATTACCATTAACTTTTAGTGCTGGAATAATTTTCTTAGTGATTCTTAACAATTCTATCATAACTCACCATAAGACATGAGATTATTTTCACATCAGCATGCAGAGATTCAGAAAGTCAGTTGATGGAAAAGGATTACCCAGAAATACTCTCAGGTAGTGAAAGATAGTCCTTAACCTTCAAGGTCTCATGACCTTCTGTGTGCCTTTCACTGTGTTGGCAGTCCCCTGAATACTACCTCTCCAGGACCAGTAAGCAGAGAGGATAAGTAGCTTGATGCAAGAGTTTCAGACTGTAGTGAAACCTGGATCTGAAACTCCTTTGGAGCTTGCTAGTTATACTCTCATCTCCCAGATGAACTGACATAAAGGAGGAACGAAGAACAATCTCACATGCATATTTTTTACTAGAAGTAAGGGCTATTTCTAAGCCTCTCATCTCTCTTCTACCAGTCTCTCAGGGTAAAAGTTCATTCCTACCATAAGAAAGTCCTTTGCAACCAAATTTGAATTTCTGCTGAATGGTGGATAATAGTTACACTGCATGCTTTGACATTATTCTCTTAAGCACAGTGAGAAAGGAAAACAGCTGAGGGATGTGCTGAGATTGCTCAGGAGGAATATTGTAAATCATCTCCTTATTTAAAAAGAATGCACAAAATATTTGCCCCCTCAGGCCGTTCCATTAGTGGACATATTCACCCCCTATACAAAGAGAAAGAAAATGTCACCTTGAGAGAAGAAAGGCGGTTGGTTTAAAAACAAGCTGAATAGCTTCTACTAGTTCCAGCTAATTTGCCCCATCTGCCTTCCTTATCTTCTCCTAAATTGAAGGCATTTTGGATGGCTTCTATGTATTAAAAGTCTTTATGCTCACCCCAATTAATCATGCAAATGACCAGTGCAATCAGCCACAGCTAGGGTGACCAGATGTCCTGATTTTATAGGGATAGTCCTGATATCTGGGGCTTTGTGTTATATTGGCGCCTATTACTCCCCACCACCTGTCCCGATTTTTCATACTTGCTGTCTGGTCACCCTAGCCACAACACACATTGAACAACTGAGGAGGGTAGAAATTTTGGTGCTATCATCTATGACAGGAGGAT